TCACTGTCAGGAAGAAAATTCTCAATTTCCAAATGTTATTTCCCATTCTAAATAATAGAGGAATATGCAAATTAGCTGGGACACCGGAACATCATGACTGAACAGCAGGGACCTGAGGCTGCATGATGCCTGGCAGGGGCGAGGGACCCCAGGCCGAGCCCTTCACCCGGCATTGCTTGAGGGAGTACCTCATGCCGAGACAGGGGACCTCATGCTGCGTCGACCCTCCCCCCCAATCAGGGCTTGACAGGAGTGGGCCAGCCAGGTCTGGGTCTCACCCAGTGGGGGTGGGGCCAGCCGGGTCTGGGTCTCACCCAGTGGGGGTGGGGCCAGCCGGGTCTGGGTCTCACCCAGTGGGGGTGGGGCCAGCTGGGTCTGGGCCTCCTGCATTTCTGAAGCGCGTGCGGGTGGTGGGCAGGGATTTGACTCTAGGTCCCGCGGCGTGCCCCAGACTCTGACAGGAGGGAGATTTTATATACATTTTACTAATTTTCTTTCATCTCTGACACTGCTATTATAGAGAAAGGGCAAACAGCAATATGAAAATATTTCCTCTAATTAATTCCCTTTTAATGCGCATGAATTTCAGGCACTAGGCCACTAGTCTTACCTAATAATAGACAAACGTGTAAAATTGACCATACCTCCACTACGCCCACAGCCAATCAAGTGTGTGTATGCAAATTAACCCAACAAAGATCGCAGGTTGATTTGCATATACAGGTGTGGGGCGGCCAGGAGGGGCGGGACATCTGCTGTGAGGGGGAGGGGAGCCAGCAGAGGGAGCTACAGGAGCAGCGCTCCCACAGGGAGCGGGGCCTTGCAGGCTCCCCGCGGCCAGAGCGAAGCCAGGGGAAGGAAGGCCGGTCTTGCACAAATATCGTGCAACGAGCCTCTAGTGTGCTAGACGTGTCAAAAACACAAAATAACACTCTATGATTGCAGGGCTGCAAGGCGGACTCTAGCAAGGTGGGATATGACCCAGAAGTTGTGCCCGAAGCTTCCTCACTCCCATCCCACCTCCTCTTGCCATCCATTTGTGGTTGCTCACATTCTAGACAGAACTCTTAGGTCCCCGGCCAGTTCCTCAGGGACCTAGCCCTACTCATTCCCTGTAGCTCAGGTCTCCTGACCCTGTCATCACCGCCAGGGCCCTCTGGTTCCACAGATCAGAGATAATCAAGTTCATTTTTCCCTTCGAATCTCCCACAATCAACAAACAAAACTCTAAGCAAACATCGGGAAGTCCCTCCTTGCTCCCAATTTTCAGAGATGTTCCTGAAGCAACAGTGACAAGCACAGAGAGTGGTGGCGGACAGAGCTTCTGCAGTGATGTCAGCCAACTGCACAGGCAACTAAGGAAAGGCAGCTGATTCCTCCAGCTTCATCACTTCCACCTAAACACCTCCCTGTGCCTCTGGCTGCCACAGTCCACCCACAGTCTGCAGGGAGGACTTCCACAGCTGCAGGCCGGCTAACGGCCCTCGGGAGGACGGTGTGGAAACCACTGTGAGGGAGCATCTGAGAGCTGGAGAAACCCTCCCCCACTCCCCGGGACGGGAAGAAGCAGATAGTTCTCCCCAGATAACATCTCAAACGTGACAGGGTGCTTACTGAAGCTCATTCCAACGACAATTAAAGACACACACACCACCTCCCTCTGGAACTTAAGACTTTGTAGAGGATAAGCCACTTATTCCAATTAGGCTAGATTTTTCTGTAATTATTTCCTTCCCTTTGGCTTTGAATTTTTTTATTCTTTCAGAGATAGAACTTACAAAAAAAAAAAAAAAAAAAAAAAAAAGGCCAGAAATCCCAACAATGGAGCTAACCACACCAACACAATTCCCTATTTTTGAAAAGCTTTCTGAAATTTTCCAACATTGATCAGCAATTCCTTAGGCACCCTGTTAATATGATTTTAAGCAGATCACACCCCAGACATTTTATGATAACTGCACATTCAGCCAGCGCCATCCCACCCTTATTTCCAATTTGGCAAACTCTCCACCAAACCAAACACATGCCCACCAGAAGGAGGGGCCGGTGCAAGCCCGGCAGTGTGGCCATAATCAATGGGCCCGCTCCTTGCTTTGCTCTGATTTTCCCTTCAAACCGAAGCAGCCCTCCCGGGGCCCTGAGCTGACACTGGCACCGTGCTGCAGCCAACAGTACCAACCCGGAGACCCCGGGCCCTGGGCAGCAGAGCTCAGAGCCGGTCCTGGTGCCGAGAGGCCCTTCCTGAGAACGGACTGCCGCGCTCCCTTCCCAGGAGCCGGCAAGGACACCTCCTGCAGGTGTCGGCCCAGGCTCCGCCGGCCCCTCTCCACGGGAACCGCCAGATTGGGGGTGGGGCCCCAGCCCCACCAGGTTCCCAGGAGCGGACCAGATAAACACCAAAAGGCCGGCATTGGAGGCGGCAATAAGCCCGGGGGAGGGTAACACTTAGCAGCCCACTTTCCTCCGACTACACTGGGAATTGGTGTGATCAGGGTCTCTGGGCAGGCGTTAGCCACACATTTCCTGGCTCTTCAGCCCGGGGCTCTGGGACCGGGAGCCCTTCACACCCGTTCATCTCAATGATAATGACGATTTCCTCATCCTGGCCCCCTGGAATGCATCTGAAAGGAGCGCCGCTCCCGCCGAAACCTGGCTTCGGGGGGTCCCTCCTCCCTCCCTGGCAGACGGGCTGCTCCCCTTCCCCGAGTTTCATTCCCTGGATCTCAGGGAGGAGACTCCCAAAAAGGCCCGGGAAATCCCGGCTCTGCCAGGCTAGCTGTCTCCGAGGGTGAAGCAGGGCACACCACACCCTAACACACAATGGTGTGCAGGTCCCCACACAGCTGCCCTCAGCCACACAGGCCGGGTTACCGACAGCAGGAGTGTTACCTCACAGACTCTAAGCCCCAGTCACTGTCACCAACCTGCCCCGAACGCCACTCTGAACCATGTTTCTGTTTGCATGCAAAAAACGGGCAGAATTGGCGAGGCTCCGACCAGCATGGGACACGGGGAACCTGATCAGGCACCGCTGCCCGCCGGCCGCCCAGCCGGATGTGGCACAGACGGGCGCAGCTCGGACCCGGCACAGATGGGAGCAGCTCAGACTCGGCACAGAGGGCGCAGCCCGGTCCCGGCACAGACGGGCGCAGCTGGACCTGGCACAGACGGGCGCAGCTGGACCTGGCGCAGACGGGCACAGATGGGTTCAGCTCGGACCCGGCACAGACGGGCGCGGCTCGGACCTGGCGCAGACGGGCACAGATGGGCTCAGCTCGGACCCAGCACAGAGGGCACACCTCGGACCCGGCACAGAGGGCACAGCTGGCACAGAGGGCACAGCCCGGTCCCGGCACAGACGGGCGCGGCTCGGACCGGCGGCGTTCCTCCCAGCAGACGGGAGGGTTAACCGCTCACCAGGAACCAGGAAACATTCCCAGCGCCCGGCCTCCCGCTCGGTACGCGGCCGTAATAAGAAAAACATGTTGCCTCGCTCATACATAAAACTGCTTTCCACAGTCTTCTTCAAGATGTTTTCGTTTACTCCCGAGTGGATCGCTATCATTATTTATTACGGCCATCGCGCCAGGGATCCGGGCCAGAAGTAAACACTGTCAAAGGGGAGGGGGGCCCACTCCCGGCTCGCCTACGTGCGCGGGCACACAGCCTTCTATGGACAGGGAGAGAAGGAACTTCTAGATCCTTTAACACAGCCTTTCCATGTTTTCACCCAGAAATCTACTTTTCGTGTATAAAACACACTCAATTTATATGGTTTCGCCGTCACCGCTGAAGAGATCCAAAACCCCAATCTCCTGTGACGTGAAACGGATTCACGTTGCAGTGTGATCGCGTTCTGTGCATCTTCAGCTCCCTCCCCTACAAGGCGACTGCTACCGTCCTGGAAGAGTGAAGTCACTCCACACAGGGCTCGAGTTGGCGAAATGGCCCCGGACTGCTTCGCCCCTCGGAGGTTTCTTAAATCCAGCTGGAAACGAGGGGACCTGAGCCCGCGAGGCGAGCCGCCTCCTGTTCCTGTGACACCTGGATGTGAGCGACACTCGCCCCTCCGCGCCGCCTCCGCCCCCAACCGCCGCCGCCGCGGCCGGACCCCGCGGCCCGCAGCGCAGGGAGCCCTCGCTCCGGGCGCCGGGCGGTCAGGCTCACACCGGCTGGGACGGAGGCCGCCCGCCGGCCCGCGCCCGGGGCGGTGCTGTGGGCACCCAGCGGCCCCGCCACGCCCGCCGCCCACCGGGGGCAGCCGTGCCGCCGTCACCGCGTCGGCTGCAGCCGCGCCCGAGAGGTGCCCGCCCCCCCGGAGGCCGGCCCCGGCGCGCAGGGCGCAGCGGGCAGGGGCGCGGGCCCCCTCCTCCGCGCGGGGGGCCGTGTGAGGAGCGGCCCAGGTTTTAGGCTGAAGTCGAACTAAGTTTGCTAACCCCCGACCGGGGGGAACGGCGCCTCCCCAGCCCCGCGGGACACCCCGAACCCGGCGCGCGGCGCAGAGGCCGGGGCGCTGCGGGGTCTGGACGGCGGGAGCGAGCGCCGCCTCCCCGAACGCAGGCCGCCCGGGGACCCCGGTGCTCCCGCCGGTTCCGGGCAGCGGGCGCCCTCCGCGGTGCGCCCCGCCCGGTGTGGGGGCCGGGGGCGGTCGGAGACCCCGGGGCCGGCCCGAGCGCAGGGGCCTCGGCCGCCGCGGCGGTGGGGGAGGGGAGGGGAGGCCAACAAAAGGGAGGCCGAGGCCCGCTCCCCGGGCGCCGGGGGGAGCCGCTGCCCGGCCCGGACTGGGGAGGAGCCGCGTCTGAGGACCGCCGGGCGCGCTCCCGCTCCGGACCCGCGGAAGCCGGCGAGGGGCTCCCCGGGCCGCCCGCCTGCCCGCCGGCCTCCGGGGACGCTCGGCGGCCGGGGCGCGGGAGGGGGCACCGGCGGCGGGCGCGGGAGGGAGGGAGGGAGAGGGGGGAGGCGGCTCCGGCGGAGCCCGCGCGGTCCGACCCCGGTCCTACCTGCGGTCCGGGGCGCCAGGAGCAGGAGCAGGAGCGCGGCGGCCGCCCAGACGGCGGGGGCGCCCCGCGGCGGCAGCGCCGGGCCCCGGGCCATGCCGCGGGCGGGGGCCGGGGGGCCGGGGGCCGGGCGGGCGGCGGGGCCACCACCCTGTGGCCGCGCGGCCGTGGCCTCTCGGGCGCTTCGCAGACGGTCCTTCCGAGGAGCTCGCGGTGCCTCTCCCCGGGCGCGGGCGGCGCGGCGGACGGCGAGGCTCGGGGCGGGCGCGGGAGTCCGGCCCCGGGACGAGCGCGAGGGGCGGGCCGCGCAGGAGGCAGGGTCCCGCCCGCCCCGGTGCAGAGCCAGGCCCGGCGGCGCCCCCTGCCGGAGGGACGGGCGGCCGCGGGCGTGGCGCGCGGGAAGCGGGGCCCGGACCCGGGACCGCCGCTCCGACCGGCCTCCCGCCCCGCCCTGGGCCCGCGCCTCGGGGCGCCCGGCCGCCCACCCTCAGGGGCGGGAGCCCGGGGCCTGGCTGGACGGCCCTGCGCCCGCCAGCCCGGAGCGCCGCCTGGCACGCCCGGCGCGGGGGCCGCGGGAGCCAGGGCGGCGGACGGGCGTCCGGGGAAGGAGCGGCCCCGCGCCCGGAGAGCCAGCGGGGCGCGGGGCGCGGGGCGCGGGGCGCGGGCTGTCCGAAGCCGCCGCGGCTGGGGTTACGGTTAAGCCATTGTGTCATTTCACTCGTTAAGGCAGACCCTGTCTGTTCTCCGCGGAGCCCAGAACATGCAGAAGCAATTTGCTTCACTTGTAAAAAAAAAAAAAAAAAAAAAAAAAATTGAACGCCATTCAAATGGCATATTTTCTTGCTTATTCTTGGTTTTGCTTAACACATGCAAAGGCCTGAAACTGGAGGGCCAGCCCCTCGGTGAGTAACTTAGGAATTTCCTTTGTTTTTCTCTCTCGCAGAAAGGATTGGACTCAGCGTCTGTTACTTGTTGTGTGAAGTCCATCTTTTAACGGACTGGAAAGCCGTGTGCTGTGTTTCTGCCCAAACGCCGTTTCCTGGTGGTCGGGTGACTGGGGACCCTGCGCCTCCCACACATGGCTGCGGGGGCAGCCTGCGCTGCGGGCTGCGGGCTGCGGGCTGCGGGCTGGGGCCAGGCCAGGCGCCCTGGGCCTCTGTCGCTGCTGACTCTGGTGGGGGACACCCGCACCCCCGCTCCTCCTGCAGATCGGAGGCCGGGAGGGGGTCGGAGGAGGGAGAAGATGGTGACACCATTCTCCTGCCACCCTGGCCCCAGCCCACCACAGCCTCCTGGCCTGTGCCGGTGCCTGCCCCCAAGGGGCCTGGGGAGGGCGCTCTGCAGTGCTGCTTGCAGACGGGCAGGGGTTTATCTCTGGGTTTTCTCCCCAAGGGGCCCTCAAGGACGCCTGAAGGGTAAACAGGCTTTAGCAGCCGGTCTTGAAGTACTGAGTTCCGGACTCCTCCATGTTGGATCTGGTGAGACCAGCCGGGAGCAGAGGCGGCCCTCTGAGTCTGCCCGCTGGTCCTCAGCAGCGCTGTGTCCGTTCAGCCGTCCAGCCGGGCTGTGCTCTGCTTCCGCTGCCACAGCTGCAGACGCAGTTCCGGAGCCAGGGCAGCCCTGCCCCCTCCGTGGTGGGAACGTGGGAAGGAGCGGCCCCGCGCCCGGAGAGCCAGCGGGGCTCTGCCCTCATCTGTGTGCAATTTCCATCTGACTGTTCCCGCAAACCCCACCGAAAGTTTAAACAGCAACACGTATTTTGCTGACAGTTTATTGGGTGGGGTCAGAAATGTGGGTTATAACACACATGATTCCTTAAAGCTTCTTAAAAATTATCTTTTCAGCATTTCTCTTTTCCCAGAATCTCCCCTATAACTCCAACCTGTTCTCCCTGACTCTCCTCACTCCCTCTTTCCTCCCCTGCCTGCAGGTTCAGAACTGAGGGATAAACACAATATATTTAACCTTATAAGTGACAGGCATCAAAATATGCTCTTTGTAAGTAATCAGGAGAATGTAGCTCAGCCACATGGGAGCTACTTACTCCTTCCCACATGTATCAGTTAGGCATTGCTGCGTAACAAACCTCCTCAAACTAACACCCAAACAGGAACATTTCTATGTCACATAGGTAGTTTTTGTGGGTCAGGAACTCAGGAGAGGCTTAGCTGGGCACTTCTGGCTCCAGGTCTGCTGGGGCCGGAGGGTCTTCGCACAGCCACCTGTTCACATGCCAGGCAAGTCCATGCTGGGTGTGGGCAGGCCACCCGCACCCCCCTGCAGGGCTCCCTGAACTTCCTCACAACAGTCGCTGGCTTCCCGGGGAGAGCCGGGCAGAAGCTGCAGCGTCCTGCCAGGCAGCCTGGGGCATCGGGCGGCGGCCTCTGCAGGGTCCTGCTGGCTCCCCAGGCCGACAGGGAGGGAAGGACACAGGGTGTGTAGGAGGCAGACTCCCTCCCACCCACAGGAAGCACAGCCGTGCTGCCCTGGGACAGGCCAGAGGGGAGACAGGGAGCAGGGTGACAAGAGGGACAAGAGCGGCCGGGCCTCCGGAGGACCCGCACGGGGCCATGCAGAGACGGGGGTGGGGGGAGGGGAGCGTGCGGGTGCAGTGCCAGCCAGCGGGCAGGGCCGGGTCCCGGGCCTCCCCTCCCCGGAGCAGCCTCCCCACCTTGCCCCTTGCTGCTTCGCAGAAACGTCTGCTCCAGGCTTCTGCTCATCTTCCACTGGCTGCATAGCTTCTTACTTTTGAGTCTTAAGAGTGCATTGTATGTCCTGGATGTAACCCTGGCAACTCCAAACTGTGTCTCCAACCTCACTGTTCCCTGACCTCCAGACCTGTGTTTCAGTCATCTCCGTGGTCCTTCTGCTTGGTTCGCCCACTGGAACCTCAAACTCAAATTGTACAAACTTGATTGGCCGTGAGCCAAACTTAGTCTTTTCCCTAAAACCCTCCCTCACCCAAAGGCATTGTCACCCCTGTAGCTCCCCAAGTCAGAAGCCCAGCGCCCCCCTCCCCCACCTGCTCCCTGTGTCCACTCCAACACTGCGTCCTGTTGGTTTTGCTTTCTGGATGCTTTCTGCTTACTGTTCTCCGTCCCCATGGCCATGGCCCTGGCCCAGGATAATACTATCTCTCACCTGGGTAAGGGGTCTACCATCACCAGCTCTACTCGCTTCTCCACGGGTGTCTTTCGAACCCTAGTCCAACTACATTGCTGCCCAGCAACTTGCTAGTATCTTAAGTTAAAGATTAAACCCTGCCCTGGCCCGTTTGGCTCAGTGGATAGAGTGTCAGCCTGTGGACTGAAGGGTCCCATGCCCAATTCCGGTCAAAGGCACATGCCTGGGTTGCAGGCTCCATCCCCAGTAGGGGGCAGGCAGGAGGCAGCTGATCAGTGATTTTCTCTCATCATTGATGTTTCCCTCTCCCTTCCTCTCTGAAATCAATAAAAATATATTTAAAAACAAAAAAAAAGAGCCAAAGCCGGTTTGGCTCAGTGGAAGAGCGTCGGCCTGCAGACTGAAGGGTCCTGGGTTCGATTCTGGTCAAGGGCATGTACGTTGGTTGCGGGCACATCCCCAGTGGGGGGTGTGCAGGAGGCAGCCGGTCGATGTTTCTCTCTTCGACGTTTCTAACTCTCTATCCGTCTCAATTCCTCTCTGTGTAAAATCAATAAAATATATTTAAAAAATAAAATAAAAGACTGAACTCTAATGTTCCATGGAGCTGCCGTGAGTGAGCTGCGCACGGAGCCCGCAGAGAGGTCCAGCTGGCCCTCCCTCTGCCCAGCCGGCTGTCCTCTCAGGCCTGTGGTCTTTATAGCACCACGCTCCCTGCCCGCCCGCAGCCTGTTCTGCTTGGAGCATCTCCCGGCTCCTTCACTGGGTAGCCCCGCTGCTCCTCAGTGTCGCTGCTCAGGGAGTCCTCTGTCGCCCTCGCCCCGCAGCAGGTCAGGCTCCCTGCAGCCTCTGCCGGACGGCACTGAGGCCCACCACCGCGCAGCTTCCCCGTGGGTCTGCTCTGCCCACTGACCCGGAGCGCCCAGCCCTGACCTGCGCAGCAGAATGGCTGCTGGTGAAGGAAGGAAGCAGAGGAGGCGAGCAGGTAAACACTGATGTGCTGAGCGCGGGTTTAGGGCAAACACAGTCAGTCCTGCAGGTACCAGTCGACATAGAAAATCTTCATGAAACAATGCTAGCCAGCTCTCCACTCCATGCTTACGTGGCTGGATGAACTTCATTATAGGCTTATCCTGAAATCACACATCCATTCGATATTTTTATCTCAAACCATTTATGTCTACAAACAGCTGAGAGAGGCTTTCTTGTTTCCATACATTTAGATTCAGGTTTGATGAAACAAAGATTCCAGTTTTCATCAATAACCATGAACTTTAGGCCTCCATAAAGCTTGAGCGCAATCATTATAACAAGGAAACTTTATTTTAGCTTTCCAATCCTTATGCCAAGAAATGGGAGCAAGAGTAAGACACTGGCAGACAATAATGTCCTTCCCGCCGTTCACTGTTTGGTACAAAGCTCACCTGGCAGGTGGCCTCGCAGGCCCAGCCCGAAGAGGCTCTGTCTGACGCTTCTCCCCTGACAGCAAATACGTGGTCAGCATCCAGTCCCCAAACGCTCACCACATGCCAGGGGTGATTCACACAATCCTCCCCTCAAATTCAGTATTTGTAAGAGCTCAGGACAGCACTTTACTTACTATTATCAGCTTATAAAGAATGCACTTCGGGAGCAGCCAAATAAAAGACGCATGGGGCAAGGTATGGAAGGGAGCGTGTGGGGGCCGCCATCAGCACCTCCATGTGCTCTCCATCAGGGGGCGGTTATGGCACTCACTGCGGAGGCAGGTGACTGAGTTATGGCCATTGGTGACTGAGCTCAGTCCTCAGCCCTCCCTCTTCCCCGGAGTCAGGGTTGGGGGGCGGGGGGGTGGTGGCTGGGGATGGGAGCTGAATGTTGAACTCTCTAATTATGAGTTGGTCTGTGGGTGACCAGTCCACATTCCTAAGTTACCTAGAGCCTCAGGAGTCTCCTCATCAGGTAAACACAGCTGCGGTCCAGAGGAGCTGCTAT